GTTGAATAGCACCCATTGACTAGAGTGGCCGCGATCCTTGCGGACGCCGTAACGTGGCCGTAACGCGATGCAGACGGACCCGGTGGAAACTAGGGGTTACGGCTGCCGCGGCGTTCGCAAAGATATCGGCCACTCTAGTCAAAGGGTGCTATTCCACCACACGCGGCGCGTTACGGCTCAGAAGCATCTCAGAAGCGTCTCGGCGCAGGCCAGGGCTCCTCTAAAATTAGCCTATAACGGTACGTCCACACAGCAGCTTTAAAAAAATCTTCCAACGCTTCCAACGCTTTTCTGCCCATTGACTTTGAATGGGGATGACGTCACTTTGCCTCGCTTTTCGCCGAACTGCATTGTGGGCGAAGCAAAGCGAAGATTTCCAGGATTTTCAGGATTCAAAAGTTGAACAATGTTCAACTTTTGAAGCTGAGCTGGAAGCGTCAGCCAATCAAATCCTGTTTATGCAAATCTGACAGTACAAGCGCTAGCCAATCGCGTGCAAGCTGTGAGAGCCAGACCGCAGTTCATTTCCTCATATTCCAAACAAGAAATTACGGTAGCAAATCACCCGGTTCTTTACGACCAGAACTATTTACCGGGATACAAACCGGAGGAACCAGGCATGGAGGGAGGTGGCAGAGACAGTGGGTGAAACTGGTAGGTTTTCACCTGTTTGGGGAGTTTATATATATATATATATATATATTGCTCGCATAAAATCCCCATGGTTTTTTGCTTTGTATGTCGGGGGCGGGAGATTCATGTGATTGGTTGTTGGACGCGTTGCTCGCAAAAAATCCCCAAGCTCTCAGACACGCCCGGCTCCAAGATTTTCAAGATTTTTTCAAAGCTGCTGTGTGGACGTACCGTAACATACAATGTGTCGGAACGCTAGCCATTAGCAGTGCGAGTGATAGTGTAGTCATTGTGTTACTGAAGTAAACAAAGGGGTACAATGGAGGCGTTTCTGGCAGGAAGTAACTGCAGAAACTAAAGGCATAAAATGAACACAAATACAATTAAATTAAAGCCAAAATAAATAATAAATCACATAAAGATATTTACAATTTTCTATGTGAAGCACTTTTATTTTAATGTTTTTTAGTTTTTCCAGTCCAACTTAATTGTACCTATTTTTAATAAGTTTGGATAAGCTGCATTTTTAGGTTTCTGAAGCCTTCTTGTGAAGACAAATCTATTTTCAATATTGTAAAAAAAAATGCATGTTTGATGTCCTGGAAAACAAAACAATATTTAAAAATGTTTGGGTTAGTAATTCATGGACTAACTAAATATTCACATCATAAATTATCAGTAATTATTTGAATATACAATTTGGAGGAAGTTTCCTTGTGTTATCAAATGTTGTTTTTCCTCCAAATTTCACCTCTTTTTCTGCAGTGTGAGCTTTGACCTCCCTGTGTTTGGTGTTGCATAATGCTGACCTCCGATCACAGCAGTCCGGGAAATCATTTTGAAATGTTGACTAAAGAAATGAAGGGTGGGGGGGATATGCAATGTCAGTTTGAGGTACCATCACAAACTCAAAATACACAAAATTAGAGTTAAAGCTTTCATATTTCATTATGTTTAATTATCTTTCATGAATTTGTAATCAGATTAGGCTACTGTTAATTATTTCAAAAATAAGGAGATAATACCAGAAATTCCATTTAACACTTTAACAGCATGTTACTGATTATACATTTACCTGATTTACATTTTCAATGCAGGAATTTTTTATTCAAAATGTTAACAGAGTGGTATACAGCATTTACTTTTATTCAAGCAGAGGATCTGAATACTTATTCTACCTCTGCATAACTCCAGCTCCAGCAGAAACATCCCCATCATTTTGAATAAGTTATAAAATGAGACATAAAATAGTACCAATTTAGTCTTTTTAGAAGTACAGTTACCCCATATGTATCTCTGATTAATACGCAATATGTTTTTGTGATATTTGCTGCAGTTCAAATCGGTGTGTTGGCCTCAGAGCAACAGCGTGACGTCAGAGTCAAAGACACACATTGCCTAACTTTTTGGGGTTGACCCCCACAATAATTTACCTGATCTGATTGTACAATCCTGATCGGAGTGTACTTCGCTCTGCTTTGTCCTGCAGTATTTTAATTCCTGAAAAAATGTCTATGGGATATCTAGGGTTTGTTCTTCTGCTTTGGTTCCCAGGAGTGCTGCATGGTAAGAACATTACATTCTGTCACCTATCATTTTTAGTTCAAGTGTTTTATTATAGTGCTCTCTTACTTGTTTCAGCACAAAATGAAACCCAGAACTGTACTGATTCCAGGCTGAGTGGAGGTTATGTTGTCCCTGAACAAAAAACGTACCTTCATGAAGCAACGCTCACTTACGCCTGTGATAACGGACTTAAACCAGCAGTGGAGGGCTGGTGGGCGACAAGCATATGTCAAAATGGCAAATGGTCTCCTGAACCCCAATGTATTGGTACGTTTTAATAATTTCTCTGTTGTTTTTTTTAAATAAGCCACTCTACGTTGTGTTTTTCAGGGTAAATGTGTAATACTTTGCTTTATAGTTTTATTTTCATTTAATTTCTGATTTTGATTGAAAGGATAATGTCTTTTTTATGACACTGTAGAGACTTTTTAATTATTATCACATGTTTTGTAACCAGTTTTTATATATTTTTCCATCCATTCTCACCAATGTCACCAACAAACATAGATTATACAAACACCAACACAACCCGGCGGCACACACAGATTTTAGCATAACATTTCAAGAGTAGGCAAAGATCTCCTTTTTGTTACATTTCTGAATGATGCTAGTTGATTTTGGCCTAACTTACTTAATATCCAACAATGAAATAAATATATGAGTTCTGGTTAAATGTTACAAAAATGTTGGCTTTATTAAAACCGTAGAGATATTTTTCATGCAAATAATGGCATTTTAAAAATGAAATGACGGTGAGAAGGTATACTTTTTTGTTCTTGAAAAAGTCTTTGGGGGCCTTAACGTCCACTGAATAAAGGACAATGAATAGGAGCTGTCGTGTGCTGCACTTTATTTCAAATTGTATTCATTTATTTTCCAACTCAGAAGGAAAAGCCTGTGTGCCACTGACTGTCCCAAATGGAAACTACGATGCAAGCACAAATGGTCGGTATGGGGAGAGAGACAAAATCTGGGTTAGATGTGACGACGGATATGAACACAAAGACCATGACGCCACAGCAGAGTGTATAAATGGAGCATGGTCCTCTGTGCCAATCTGTGAAAGTAAGTCTGTCTTATTAATTTTTTTAAACGTCAGTTACCAGAATCAAATCAGTATCTAAATCTTAAATCCACTTTACACAATAACCTCCTTTTCAGGGAGTACCGAATCATGTGGTGATCCCCCTAAACAAAAACATGCAGTCATCATTGGTAAGGGATACCAGGAGGTGTTTGCTGCAAGCTCAAAACTGCAGTATAAGTGTGAAGATAGATATACTGCAGAGCGAGCAGACACCGAAACAATCATTTGCATCTCAGGAAACTGGACTGAAGGCCCAACGTGCAGTAAGTTGGCAATTTACTGAGAAATGCGCCAATAAGAATACTTTTTATTATTTCTGTGTCATTATGGATTGGTGAATTATAAGATGTTACAAATGACCCTTGTCCAACATTAAATGGCTCCCATGATCTAAATTAAGCAAATATGGCAGAATTTAAGGTTAAGTCAACTACTGATTCAACAATAATTAGAAATAATAATAAAATAAACTTGATGGCCATTTCAAATAGTGAAAAGCATTAGAAAATGGCTCTATTAGACTATGGAACTACTATATAAATAGATTAAAAATACACTTTATGTAGAAATGTTATTCAACACAAAACACTTAAATTGTTAGAAGAAAATAAAAATTGTATTAAGCATGTCAGGGTCCGTGTAACACAGCATTACAATTGCCCTCAAATGTACCATATATGACAAAAGCTACCCTGCAACTAAGCTAACATTTGACATAGATATCAAAAATGTAAGACAACAGAATGGTTATTAAAACCAGACAGATTCAAATAAAAAATGCATAAAAGGACGAGACTAATACTGAAGATAGAATATATTACTTCTAGGCCCATACCTCAAAGGTCTTGCGAAAAAACGTTGAATAGTATGAGTGGTAAGATTAAGAAATATTAAAATGACTAAAAAACTATTTTACAATTGTTGTTAGGATAATGTGCTTTACTAGGACAAACTAGTACAGTACAGAAAGAATACTGCTCTTTTATTTCCGTACGGGTTAGGATACAGGCGGTAGGAACTGGGTGTAGTGCTGCCGGAGCGCACCGGAACGCCGGCTCAGCTCAGTGATGTAAAGGCACACCTTTATATGATCATTATAGTTATACAAAAATAAGAGAATAAATGAAAAACAGGTATGAAATACTATATGACGATAAAACAAGAGTACAGTTTAAAAGGGGAGTGATTTGTAAAATATCCATGAAGAAAAAGAAAATCTGTTTACAGTTCTGTTTCATATGGGTGTTGACCCCCCCTAGAGGATGTTCCCCCACTTAAATCATATCAGATGGATAGGATACTAGATACAATTGCACACTTCTTGTGTCCATATCAAACACATTCCAAAAGTTGTCGTGAAATTAACTTATTAAATAAACGAAACGAAAAATATAGCCTACTTATGCAAACAACATTGAATCTGGACTTGAAATTATTCTGATTAGGCCTAGCCTA